ATAACAGGTGTACTTAGGACTACGCCCAGTAAAGCGTTGATTGCCATGCTGAACTGGCTGCCTGTGGATCTTCTTGCTAAACAACTGGCAATGAATACTGCAGCCAGACTAAGTATTACAAATAGATGGAACTACGGTTCCAGAGGTCATGTAAAGATTGTATTTCTTCTACCAAACCTACATCATGCTATTGACTACCAAATTCCGGAACCGTGCATTTCGAAAAAAATCCGGTATAGTTTCATCTGTGATTATAATGAATTAGCACCTAAAGGTGTTGAAAGCTTTAATGTGTATACATATGGCTCTAAAACAACTAAAGGTGTCGGCGGTGGCATATTCATTGAGGAATTCGGGACGAAAATCTCTTTCCGACTTAACGACGAATGTACTATTTTACAGGCTGAAATCTCACCTATAAAAAAGGCATCAAATTGGCTTAGGTACTATCGGATATCCAACAGGGATGTCAGAATTTATACTGATAGCCAAGCCGCTATCAAATCCCTGATAGGTGTGTATTCTACTTGTCCAAGAATGCCGGGCGTCTCTAAACGGGATGGCGAGACATTCAAGAATTACCCTCGTTTGGGTCAAAGGACACGGGGACATAATTGGCAATACTACTGCTGACATTTTGGCAAAAGCCGGCACGAGGATGACCATGCAGGATATAGACCAGTTCTGTGGTGTCCCCTTAACGGTCATCAAGAAACAAATACTTCATTATTACTTTAGTTCAGCTCAGGAAAGGTGGTCTCAGGAGCACACTTGCTCGATCGCTAGGTTACTGTGGCCCTGTATGGATCCCTATAAAACATCCTACATTTTAGGGCTTAACAGAATATATCTGAGCGCTCTGCTATCAGTTCTTACCGGTCATTCAAAGTTCGGAAACCATGCTAGACGTATTGGTATTCCATATAATGACTTTTGTAGGAGCTGTCAAAATGAAGAAGAGGAGGAAACAATTACTCATCTTCTGTGTAACTGCCCGGCCCTAGAATCGCTCCGTTATCAGGCGCTGGGTTCGTCTCACTTTTCTGATCTATCTGATCTGTCAGCTGTTCAACCTGAGTGTATACTAGCATTCTTGAAATTGTCGAAGTGGGTGTGTAACTAAATACACACTAGGATTTTTCTTCAAATACAGTCTCGATCTCATCGATCTCTATACTCATTATTCTATAGTCTATATCTGTATCTTTCACTATTATCTCTATCACTATTTTTTTTCCCCTTCCAAATGTTTTCCCTTATCTTTTCTCTCATTACTTGGGACCTGATAGGACTTACTCGTGTCAGAAAGCAGTCTGCAAAACCTAACCTAACCTAGGGAAGAAAGACTCACTGCTTTTAGCTTAGAGGTTCATTCCGATGAATTGAAGGTTTTAATGAACGAGGTTAAGTCAACCTACCAGACATACTTAGATTATTTAGCTACTTCGGACACAACGGAGCCTGATGATATAGATGTCGTTTCATCAAAGTATCAGGCGACTTATAATGCATTCGTTAACTGTTTATCGAACATTAAAGAACGATTGCACATGTATGCCCAAGCTCAAAAGATTAGTGATTCTCCAGTAGTTAGCCAGAACAATACAGAAACTCACCATAGTTTAGTAGTGCCGCCCTGTGATGTTGAGACCTTTGACGGAGATTATCTCTCTTGGCCCGCTTTTAGGGATCTATTTACTGTTTTATACGTAAATAATACTCGTCTCACCAACATAGAAAGGATGTGTCATCTTATACGTAAGACTAGTGGTGATGCAAAGGAAATAGTAGCTAAATATCCTATTTCGCATTTAGGATTTGATATGGCGTGGAATAGCCTTAGGGCTGCTTACGAAAATCCACGTATGTTAGTTAACAACCAACTTAAATCTTTTTTTAATCATCTTATTATTGAAAAGGAAACTTCTGAAGGTCTCAAGACCATACAAAGAAGTATAAACAGTTGTCTTTCGGCCTTATCAATATATTATGTTTCCTTTGTGTACAACGACTGCCCGATAACTCTCTTACCTTATGGGAACAAAGTATAAAAGACAAATTCGTATTGTCTGTTTGGAAAGATCTGGATGCATTTCTGACAGAATGAATTCAGACCTTAGAATTTCTACGTGACATTAGGGAAGTCCCACAATCTAAAAAATTATCGACTCCAAAGGTGAAGGCGCACCATGCCACTTCATCTTCTTCCCTTTCTTGCATTTTATGCAAGAATCAAAGCCATTTTCTACGGGATTGTAAGAGATTTAAAAAACTTTCGGTAATGGACAGATTCTCGACTATTAAGAAACATCACATCGGCCTTATCAATATATAATGTTTCGACAGAAAATTGCGATCCGATAATTGTTTTCCTTTGTGTACAACAACTACCCGATAACTCTGTTACCTTATGGGAACAAAGTATAAAAGACAAATTTCGTATTGTCTGTTTGGAAAGATCTGGATGCATTTCTGACAGAAAGAATTCAGACCTTAGAATTTCTACGTGACATTAGGGAAGTCCCACAATCTAAAAAATTATAGACTCCAAAAGTGAAGGCGCACCATGCCACTTCATCTTCTTCCCTTTCTTGCATTTTATGCAAGAATCAAAGCCATTTTATACGGGATTGTAAGAGATTTAAAAAACTTTCGGTAATGGACAGATTCTCGACTATTAAGAAACATCACTATTGCATTAATTGTTTGTCACGAAATCATGAAGTGAAAGATTGTAAGAGTCTGCATTGTTGTTTTATTTGTAATGGTAGGTCAGTCTGAACAGAATGTTAGGACGCAATTTATACGGACAGAATCCTCTCTCTTGAGAAATCCTGTCATCAAGAATATGTATGATGACGTCGTTAGGGAATATTTAACTTTAGATCATATGCGTCCAGTTAAAGACTCTCCTTCTTCTTCTTGCTACCTGCCTCATCATCCAGTTATAAAAATGGACTCTCCTTCTTCTTCTTGCTACCTGCCTCATCATCCAGTTATAAAATTGGACAGAAAGACCACAAAATTACGTGTGGTTTTCAATGCGTCGAGTAAAACGTCTAACGGCAACAGTCTTAACGATTGTTTATTTACCCACATTACAGTCAGATCTCGTTCTCCCGATTTTACGTTGGCGCTTTTTTAGGTTTGTGTTTAATTGTGATATAACACAAATGTATAGGCAGATTAGACTTGATAGTTCTCATGCTCCATTCCAACGAATTTTGTTTCGTGATTCTCCGACGGAGGAAATTCAAGAGTATGAGTTACAGACTGTAACCTTCGGTGTTAATTGTGCACCTTATCTTGTCATTCGTACCTTGATATAATTGGCCGAAGATTCCGAAGCTGAGTACCCTCTAGCGGCGAAAATACTTCGGAAATGTATGTACGTCGATGACGTATTAACTGGGACTCATGAGATCCCAACCGCTTTGATCGCTCGCGATCAACTTATAGCGGCTTTAGCATCAGCTAGTTTTGTGCTAAGGAAATAGACTTCGAACGAGAAAGCCATTTTATCTGGTATACCCGTTGAGCATTTAGTAGATGCCAAACTATTGACATTTATTGAGTCAAGTAGCTCAAAAACTCTTGGGTTACAGTGTAATGCTCATTCGGACTCGTTTTATTTTAATGTGGATCGTATTTCGATGCGATCAAGTCACACGAAAAGAGAGGTACTATCTATAATAACTAGATTATTTGACCCTGTTGGATGGTTAGGACCAGTCATTATTGTCGCTAAGATGATAATGCAGAAGGTTTGGCAAGACCAGATAGATTGGGACGCAGCTCTTAAGCCCGCTACTGAAGCCGAATGGCAAAAATTTGCTGCTTCATAACATGAAGTAAACGACATCCAGATTCCTAGATGGGTTAATTATATACCTAATTCTACAGTGGAGCTTCATGTCTTTTCAGATGCATCTGAAAAAGCTTATGCAGGGGTAATTTACGCTAGAGTCGAAAGACCCAATGGCGAAATTTATACCCATCTGTTAACTGCTAAAACAAAAGTTGCTCCCATTAAATCTATTTCTCTACCACGACTTGAACTCTGTGGTGAAGTTCTTGCGACGGATCTTTTAAAATCCGTATTATTTGAAATTGACACCCCATTATGTCAAATATATTGTTGGACTGATTCTACAATCGTCCTTGCTTGGCTGAAAAAGGACCCTTGTTCATGGGCAACCTTTGTAGCCAACAGAGTTTGTAAAATTCAGGAAGTGGTCGGAAGACATAATTGGCACCATGTCAAATCTGAAGACAACCAGCAGACTTGGGAAGTCGGGGTATTTCACCCTCTGATTTAACACAGAACAATTTATGGTGGCATGGTCCCAATTGGCTTCGGGAAAAAAGCACTACCTGTAATCTAGGGAATTTGGCCTTATTAGATACGGATTTAGAGGCTCGATCAGTAAAATCTCATGCTTCATTTTTTTCGAACTATGAAGATATTCTAGAGATTTTCTTCTCTTGATAGGGCAATTCGAGTGTTAGCCTATGTATTTAGATGTTTCTACAACACTCACTCGGCTCATAAAAATCGGAATTCCTTTGAGACTACCATTGTGACAAACATTGAGGTTAGGAAAGTAAAACTGCGATTGGCCATTTTGGCTCAAAAAGTAAATTTTGTCGAAGAATACCAATGTCTTTTGCACAAAAGACCTCTATCTTCGAAAAGTCCTTTATTGACTTTGTATCCATTTCTGGATAATGAGGGTGTTATGAGACTTAAAGGTCGTTTGACAAAATCATCTTCATTAGTCTATACCGAACGGCATCCCATATTATTGCCATATTCTTGTCGCTTTACCCGTCTTTTGATTGAGTTCGTACATACGATTTCTTTCCACGGTGAAAATCAGTTAATGCTCAGGATCTTAAGGATCGAATATTGGGTACCTCGACTAAAAACACTAGTTCGAGCTGTTATTAATCGGTGCAAACGGTGTATTCTTGACCGTAAGCGCACCTGTACACAAATAATGGCAGCATTACCCCCCGAACGAACTCAGATAGGCCGACCATTTACGACAACTGGAGTCGACTTTACTGGGCCTTTTGACATAAGAAACTTGAATAGTAGATCGTGTCAAACTTTAAAGGCCTACGTTTGTATTTTTGTTTGTTTTGCGACAAAGGCCATTCATTTGGAAGTCACTTCAGACTTATCAACTGATAGATTCTTGGCCGCTTTTAATCGATTTATATCGAGACGAGGTTGTCCCACTACTATGTTCTCCGACAACGGAACGAACTTTGTGGGAGCTTCTCGTGAACTGGAAAGGGATTTTAGAACATTTTTGTCGGAAAGTCGTGCTCGGATGTGTTCCACTTACGGTATTAATGGACTAATATGGCGATTTATTCCAGCGGGCGCTCCTCATATGGGAGGCCTATGGGAAGCGGGAGTTCGAAGTTTTAAACTTCATTTCCGTAAAGAAGCTGAGTCCGTGAAATATACCTTTGAGGAACTATCGACGGTTCTCGCAAGAATTGAAGCTTGTCTTAATTCGAGACCGTTGTTTCCAATGAGTGATGATCCGAATGAGCCAGTAGCTCTTACTCCTGGTCATTTTTTGATCGGATCACCAATACTAGCTCCACCGTAGCCTTCTATATATGAATCCCCAATCAGTCTCATAAATAGATATATGAAGGTCAAAGCGCTATCCCATCACTTCAGTTGACGATGGAAGGTAGAATATCTATCAAATCTTCATAAAAGATATAAATGGAAATACCCTGAACGAGATGTATATTTAGGTGACTTAGTAGTTATAAAAAATGAACAAATGTCTCCGACTTCCTGGAAATTAGGTAGAGTTGTTAAAGCTTATTCAGGAAGTGATGAACATGTTCGCGTTGCTGACATATGAACAGAAAATGGCATAATAAAGCGACCAATCACAAAATTAGTCGTTTTGACTAATGAAACTTTGTAAAATTAAAAATATTAAAAAAAATTTCCTTGTTCCTAGTACCATGGACGCTTTAACCATTGCAATGGAAGATGCGCTCTTAGAGTCCGACAAGGAAGTAATGGAGGTGGAGGACCAAGGATCTAAGGTGGCTACAGTAGCTAATCCAGCCCTTGTTCCAGCCCCTGCTCCAATACCTGATCCAGTTTCTGCTCCAAAAGCTATTTCAGCACCTGCTCCAGCACCAGAGTTGCCTGCTTTAGTGATCGCTTGTCCAGATACAGCAGCAGCTCCACCAACAGCAAAGTCTTCGATGAGGAACACTCATGTTCGAAAGTTTCGGAATCTTCAAAGTCAAAATGCCTTCAATGTAAGGGTAAACATCCCCTTTATAAATGTGCGCACTTCCAAAAATTAAGTCACGAGCAGAAGCTACGATTTGTCGCGTTACATCGCAATTGTTACCGGTGTTTATCGACTAAGCATTTAGCATACGATTGTAAATCGTATTACATACATTGCAATGAAATGCAATGTATGTAACGAAAGTCACCACACCCTTTTGCACGCTTCAGGGAAAGGGTCATCAAAAAAGGTGGTTAAAGCTAAAAGTAAACCCTCGCGTTCTCTTGAGAATACTGTCCACGCTCGATCGAAACCTACACCGTCCCAGATATCTAATGTGCCAGTAAGACACGTGATAAGTCTTTCTCCTATGTTAAAGGTTAATTTGTTGATCGGTAATAGGAGAATTTTAGTGCGCGCGGTGATTGATTTATGTTGTTCGATGTCCTACGTATGTGAGTCATTAATTCAGCAGCTTTCGCTGCCGGTTTCGACCTTAAACGAGGACAAAATATGTCGTTTGACCATCGCGTCAAAATATGCGCCTTATCCGCACATAACTTTAACGGCAACAGTAAAGAAAATGCTTGGGATACGGACACCGACGGAGACAATTTCGACCGAAATTTTGTCGTTATTTGATGGGATTCAGTTAGCTGATCCCAATTTTAATCAGTCGGGAAACGTCGCGCTGGTATTAGGACCTGAATTGAGTTCGGCCATAATTAAAGGAAAAATCCATTCGAGCCCGGGAATTCCTCTTGCGCAATATACTTTGTTTGGACGGGTCATTTCCGGCCAATCCCCGTATTAGAACAATAAAATGTCTTTAATTTGACCTGTGAATCTTATTTATTCATGGGTACAGTCGAGGGACTGAAAAAAAAAACCTGTCTTCGGGACTTCGGTTCTGTGGGGAAAGTCGAGAGACTTCGTAAAAATCTGCCTTCGGGACTTCGGTTCTGAGGGGAAAGTCGAGAGACTTCGTAAAAATCTGCCTTCGGGACTTCGGTTCTGTGGGAAAAGTCGAGAGACCTCGAAAAAATCTGCCTTCGGGAATTCGGTTCTGTGGTTAAAGTCGAGAGACTTCGTAAAAATCTGCCTTCGGGACTTCGGTTCTGTGGGAAAAGTCGAGAGACTTCGTAAAAATCTGCCTTCGGGACTTCGGTTCTGAGGGGAAAGTTGAGAGACTTCGTAAAAATCTACCATGGTCCTTGGACCTTTCGTCGATATATTTAAAATTTGAAAAAATAATAATAATTATGAAAAAGAAAAAAAATTGAAAAGAAAACAAAATATAAATCCATATATGATAATGAAAACTGTATATATTATAGTTTATTCTAAATTTAAGAACCTTTATTTCTCCTCTGTTTGTTGCAACTGACTTCGTCGTCGCAAGGTGGCCGGCAATGTTCAATTTAGAAATTTATTTGAAAACCTACACAGAAAAAAATGGAATTCAAAATCAAACAAAAAATTCATAAAGCCAAGTATTTTTTTTACTAAAATAGGACCTATCACGAAATTCGTAAAATCAAGTACTCAAATTCGTAAATTCTTTATTGAAAAAATTTCAGGATTTTTCTTATTAAAATAATATACTATTTACGAAAAACATTAATAAATATTCACAACATTTCCAAACAATTATTTTACTGAAACAATAACAAAAGTTATTAGTATTTGTACTGAAGTTCAAGTAAATATGTTATCTGAAACAGTTAAATTATTTATTGTATTTTGGCAATAATAATAAGCAAAATTTTTTATTGAATCTATAAAAATTTTGTTAAAAAATATATACTAAATTTAAACAAAAATTTTACTAAAAAATTTAAAACTAAAATTTGTAAAAAAATTACATATATACTTACAACATTTTTAAGAAAACGTTTCTAATTCTAGAAACTGTTATTTTGTACTGTGAAAACTGAAACACTTATACATTAAATGTTATAAACCAAATAAGAATTATATCAATTCATTTTAGTACATTCCAAAACTGGTTTTATTGTTGTATTCCATATGCTGACATAAAAATAAAACTCAAACAAAATCATTGATTGAATCAGTAAAAATATTTACTGAAAATTAAATTTATTTCAATAAAGTGTTTGTTAGAAAATATTTTCCTTCTGTGTGAACATCAAACAAATTCGTTATAAACCCAAATAAAAATATTTATAAAAATCGAAATTAAATTTAAGCAAACGATTGTTAAGAAAAAAAATGTGCATATTTTTTTCTGTGTATTTTCTATTCCCTTTATACTACGTTAGGATTTATCTAACTACTTCTTTTTTCATCCTTGAAAAAGTGTAGAGATAAATTCTAACTAGTAAAACCGCTAACGGTATAACTATTCGCAACTAGTTGCATAGTTTTTATATCCTACACCACTTTAGTGGGGAGGGTGTATTGGATTTGTGCTGATGTTTGTAACGCACAATAATATTGGTCCTATACCCACCTTAAAGTATACCAATCGGCTTAGAATCATTTTCTGAGTCGATTTAGCTATGTCCGTCCGTCTGTCCGTCCATGTAAACCTTGTAATCAAACTACAGGTCGCAATTTTGAAGATAATTCAATGAAATTTGGCACATGATCTTCTATTGTCCCAGAGACGAAGCCTATTGAAAATGGTTAACATCGGTCCATTTTCTCATCTAGCCCCCATACAACTGAACCCCCGAATAGAGCTTGTAAACTTTTAATCAAACTACAGGTCGCAATTTTGAAGATAATTCAATGAAATTTGGCACATGATCTTTTATTGTCCCAGAGACGAAGCCTATTGAAAATGGTTAACATCGGTCCATTTTCTCATCTAGCTCCCATACAACTGAACCCCCGAATAGGGCTAGTAAACCTTTGAATCAAACTACAGGTCGCATTTTTGAAGATAATTCAATGAAATTTGACAGATGACCTTCTATGGTACCGGAGACGAAGCTTATTGAAAATGGTTAACATCGGACCATTATTTCACCTAGACCCCATACAACTGAAAACGACGAATAGGGATTTTAAGTTTATAATTATGTTTAATATACTCGTATCTCGACAAAAAGCTGCAAAACCAAGTTCTATACTAGCCTTGATGACTCGCATGAATTTTATAATTATAGGGTCTCATTTGACCATAGCCCCTATACAAATCCCCCTTCAAAATTTGACTTAAATGTCCACAATTTTATTCAACAATAAATGGCTTAAGCATAATTCAAGGCAAGGTGCAATTCAACTTAAATGCTTTATTAGGAAAACTAAATCACATTTTATTTTTGTAACAGGTGTAGGGTATTATATGGTCGGCCTCGCCCGACTATAATTTCTTACTTGTTTTTTGTGTAAAATTTACTTACAAAGTGAACGCCATTGTGACCACTTAGTACACAACCTCAGTGAAGAATCTTTAAGGTAAAGTTAAATTTAATAAATAAACTTTTTATTGAAAAAACTAAAGTAGTTTGATCTTATTTATCACTTTTTTTTGCACACACGTAAACAGTCTCTATGTTGAAAATTTCCGGTGCTATTTTAAACTCTTTCCAGAAATTTATCCCTAAATAAACTTGCTATCAACTATCAATTAAATCTAAACAATTCTTACCTAATATGCTAATAGATGCTCCGCTATCGAGTAATCCTTCTAAACTAATGTCTCCTATTTGTATTCTAGCGAAAGCTCTCGGATCAGTGTTGTTGTTAATATTCCTAAATAAATTTTTCTTATTCTTAAATCTATTCCTAGTTCTCCTAACTTTGATCAATTTTTCTGTCTCTATTTCAGATTCAAATATTCTCTTCCTTATCTTCATATAATTCTCTAATCTTTTCTCATATGTATTACTAAAATTGTTCTCTAATCTATTACCTACACTCTCTTCTACTCTTTTCAAAATTTTAATTTCATTTCTATTTAGTCCTATATTTTCAGTTTGGGTCCCTATGCTCTTCAATTTCCGGTTGTCGTTTGTGGTAACTACTCCAGTAAAAATCTGCCTTCGGGACTTCGGTTCTGTGGGGAAAGTCGAGAGACCTCGTAAAAATCTGCCTTCGGGACTTCGGTTCTGTGTGGAAAGTCGAGAGAATTCGTAAAAATCTGCCTTCGGGACTTCGGTTTTGTGGGGAAAGTCGAGAGACTTCGTAAAAATCTGCCTTCGGGACTTCGGTTCTGAGGGGAAAGTCGAGAGACTTCGTAAAAATCTACCATGGTCCTTGGACCTTTCGTCGATATATTTAAAATTTGAAAAAATAATAATAATTATGAAAAAGAAAAAAAAATGAAAAGAAAACAAAATATAAATCCATATATGATAATGAAAACTGTGTATATT